ACTTAGAATTTATGATTCAAAATGAATAACCAAACACAACTGTGTTGGCAGAAAGAAATAAAATAATTCCATTTCAGAATAACTCAACAAGTTACAAATATTATTATTGTATAATAAACAGTAAACTTGTTGAAAGAAATTGATACAAAGATATGGAGAAAAAAAAACACTTGAACAGAGTACATACTAAACATTACAACATGAGTACTGCCAAATGAAAAGTGACAGTTCGGTAGAATCGAATAGAGGGAGTCAAATGTGACAGGAAAGTGTGTTGCACTCTTATTGATGGAGGGTTGTTGCATGAGGATTTACAAGAGAGATGCATTTGAATCAGTCGATTGTAAGGTACGAGAGAAAGCTCAAGTCTTGTGGCATGTGACAATGTTTTTTTCATATAGAGGGCAGCACTGAACGAGAATAGCTATTTATGTGAGTAGAGGTATCGTACCTTATGAGAATTTTCTGCTACATATATTTTTTCACATTCTTATTAATTTGTCCATTTTGGTAGTAGAAGGGCTGCAGAAAGTTTGCCAAGATTTGTGATTTAAGACTGGCCTTGCTGCTCTTAACAACACAGGAATTGTGGTGTTAGGCAACAGTGCATAATCATAGGCATCAGACTAAGAATAATTAATGATGGAGGAAGTAGTTTTAGAGGCAGCACAAGACCTGCAACAATATTTTTATAAAGTATGAGAAACCTTCTGGAGAACATTATTTTGGTAAGATAGCTTCTCTTGGTCAGGGCTGTAGTATTCTTAGGAGAAATCCATGATCTATATATTTCATTGTTCCTAATTTGCTTATTTTGTCTGAAGTTGTCTGAAAAAACTAAAAAAATGTTTTTTCAGTTTTTTAAGTCATGTGAAGAATATTAATGGAACTGTTACAAAATGTTCCTTTAGTGTTAAGTACTAAAACTCAGATAAACTGGAAGAGAAAGACAAAATAATAGTGATTAAGACCACATTTAAGTAGACCAGTGGTACATTTTTTTTCACAAATAATTTGCATCACATATGTTAGTACAGGAACTGATCACAAAAATTCAGTGTACCTAATGTCCTTATAATCAAGTTGCAAATGATGAGGAATAGTTAAAACTTCTGCTTGATAAATTAGCCACTGCTAATTGATTATTGATAGCAGTCTAGCAGATGTTAAAGCACTGGAATGGATATGGAGTAACCTTATTGCAGCATGAAATTTAGTTCAGTTGACAACAGGACAAACTTACTATTTGTGAAGGCTCCTACAAGCTCAATAGAACAATGGCCTTGATGATTCATTGAGGATCACAAACCACTGATCAGTTTATGTATCAGCAATTGTAGCAACAACAGTTCAATGAGAGCTATAGACTGAGAGTAAGAGTACTTTCATTTCCTGCTTTCCTTTTGACTTAATTTCAGGCTGCTGGAACAATTGTCACATAATTCATTAAAACCACAAAAAATCAGTCATTCAGCTAAGCTTTGAAATGTCATCTTAAGCTATAAGGGGATCCACTCTTCTGACAACAAGGACCTTTAAAGGTTGAGAAAGGATTTGCTCATTTGAGGCATTATGAGATGTGTTTTGAAATGATTCCTTGCAATTTTAAGCATTTTGAAAGGTTAGTGTATGTTACATAGATAAGCATCCAGTACTGGAAAATGGAGGTTATTGAATAAGTTCTTAATTGTTAAATAACTTCAATTAGCTTGCATCTGTGGTTTTAATTCAGACATTCCAACATAAAATGTTCCACTCATCTATGCTAAAGGCCCATCATGAGATAAAAATAAATATTATTCCTTAAGAATGATAGCACAATAAAGTCATAATGTTCACTGTGCTGCCTACTCTGTTTGATCCAAACTAAAGCTGTGTTATACTTCTGAAGATCTTATTAAGATCTGGAACAAGCAATGACCTATTAGGAAATAAGAGGGGGAAGGGTCAAGAAAGTTAGAAGAGAACTGTACTAGGGGTTGAAGAAATGCTGAGAACAACTTAGAACACAGAGTCAGAAGGAGCAGAGGATCCAATAGAGTTTAAGGAAAGCCAAGAGTCACTCACAAACTGAACAAAGGATCTTCAGTAGTTTCTTTAAAATTTCCAGAAGATCACAAACTGTGATGGATGGATCATTATGCAACTGAAACCCAAATAAACTAAATATACAGGAAGAGGAACCTGCTCACAGTATTATAGCACACTTAAAAATGCACAAGCAGGAACACTTAGTCACTAGGGGTGATGGATCTGTTTCTACAGTTTTTATTAGGTACTTGCCATGAAGCAGTAGAGAAAGCCAGAAGCTTAACAGAAAGAAGCAGGGTGGCTGTTCCAAAACATTGCTAAATTACAGAAGAAAAAACAACTCTTTCCCCAGAAACCCCACAGACAGCAGCCCACCAGACCAAGGTAGCTGAGAGAGAGGGATATCACAAGCTTCAAGGTTTCAAGATGAAGCAACAGTACAATTTGCCATTTGAGAAATTAACCATCTGACCATTAACCATCACAGTTTTGGGGCAATATCCAGGTTATGTCACTCCAAAGCCTTTGTCAATAATACAGACACTCTATTCTGTCAACAAAGAAGTATTACAAATATAAAAAGAAAATATCATCAATATTCTAATGGCTCAAGCCAACTAATTATAGAGAGTCTGGCAAAATCACTATTAACCTCCAAACTAACCCAACCACACCAATCAATCAAATAGAATAAAAAATGATGGAGAAACAGAATGCAATAAAGAAAGGACACAAAGGAACTAAACTGTCTGTAAAATATTGAGGAGTTAAACCTGCCAATTGCTCTTGTCTACATCTCGACTCTCGAACCTGTTTGCTCCTCTTCATATACTTAGTTAAATCTCTCTGTATCTTTGTGGTCTGAAATGGGTTTTATATCAATAAGTTTTGACATAACGAATATACTTTTACTTTTTCCTTTTTCTCTTGACATAACTTATAAACTAAATTTACTTACATTATAAATTTATATATTATACACATAACAAAGGGACAGGTAAGTTCTGTGAACGATTGAAATGTTACTTCCAAAGGTTTGAGCTCCCCTTATTTCTGTTTGATAGTTAATACACAACATTTCTTCACATTTGTAACTGTCTATGTTGCATCACTGTAGCAAGAATAAGATTTCTCTATATATTTTTATTAAGTTCCAAATTGTTTCTTCACATATCATAAGTCATAAAACCAAAACATACATTAGTCTTCATTTCATAAACCTACAATCATCTGGTAAAAATTAAAACAGGAAAAAAAACTTTCACCATTCTCATACATTCGTCATCACCTAGACCTAAAAATCATCTCACTGATGTACTTGTATCATGAAGTAAACATTAAAATGTAGGCTGGTGATAACCAAACTATGAAACTACTTTCTTATCTATTAATTATGTTACTGATTTAATATCTGTATGTTCAAAAGATAGTTGCTATCTCTCCAACAATATGACTCTTATTATAGAAGCATATTCTCTTGCTAAGTGTTACAAAACAACAAATGATGAATTGCTTTATATTGCCACTTGGCTTATTGAAAATTGCCTAAGTTTTGAATATTCATAAATTACAATATATGATTATTTCAAGGGAACAGTCTAATGATGATTTGAAAGTGAACGGAAATACTTTATCCAAGGTTGATTCAATTAGGATTCTTGGAGTTATTATTCAGAACAACCTTAAGTGAGATAAACAAATAGAAATAGCTTCCAAAAAACTTGGTAGAATAGTATATATTATGACATGGTGTAAGAAATATAGATGGTTATTAAGGCTGCTTTCCAAAGTTAGTCCATCTTTAACTTTGTTTATATTCTGAATGAGAGAAACTTACTTTTTTTAGCTTTCAAAGCGATATAATATTTGACAATAAAGTCACATTGTTTCATTCTTGAGTTTTTATAAGAAATAAAAAGAATCAGAGATTGCACAATTAAGTTTCCTTTAAAATACTCGTGCACTTTATCAAACTTATAACACCATCTTTTATAGTCAAATGACTTAAATGTGTAAGTGTATGGGGTACAAATTTTTATATATTAAGACCAATCTGGTTGTTACAACAGAGAGCCTTAAGGCTAATGATTGGTCTTTCATACAGAGCTTTTATGAACAGCAAATTGAAAAAATTTGGAATTTTAACAATTTATCAAGCCTGTGTTTACTGATTCATTTATATTGCAAAGGATGTTTAATAATGATTTGAACTTGTTAAATCTATCTGAAGAAAGTTTATATTCTTTTCAGAAAAACAACTCTACATTTTTGTTTTGAGCTCCAAGTATTTATATTATTTAGCACCAACTATTGTAAATAGAATCCCATTAAATGATTGGTTAACTCCCAGTACCAAGTTATTTAAAATAAAAATGTCCAATTACGTATATTCAAATTACTCAATGTTTGGTTTAATATATGTATAATTATTTTGTATAGTTGTTGTTTCCTATTTGTATTTTTTTTTATAGTTACTTATTCATTATGGTAGTAATTTTTTGAATGAATAAAAACAAAAAAAGAAAACAACAAAGAAGTTACTATTACTATATGTATACACAGTCACCTGTTCTAAAATCTATTCCATCACCAAATGTCTAACTAAAATATTGTTTTACATTTTAACATTTATTTTGAAATTTTGCTATTTTTCATACCAACTTCTTGTAAAATTGTACCTTTTCAAATATAATGTGTAGTTGACACAAAATTACAAAATTTACATACAACATACACACACATTTCTTTTTTCCATATACACAAATTGATTTATACTCTTCAAGGCTCATTACAGCTTATTTCACAATAATTTTCTTCAACGTTAAGAAATTAGGAAGTTTGTATCTAATAAAACTTTAACTGTAAGCTAAACATTAATCACAGCTTAACACGTAACCTGATGTTACTTCATACAATACTACTGTTTGGGATTATGAAATATCAGTCATATTCACTAGATTTAGCATTACCTGCTGGATTTTTTCTAAGAAAACATCAGTACACTGCAGGTTGGCTCTTTCACAATTTTCTTGTACAGCTGCATTCAAGTATTCATAGTCTGGAGTTGGGAGTTCTACACCAGGGAAGAGATCAGAAGTGATACCCTAAAGAAAAAAAACATTAGCTACACTGTTGAATAGTATGAAGTGAAGAAATTCTGAAATTCATTGACAGATTCAACAATCACAAGTTTAATAGCCACAGAACTGAAAAAAAAAAAACTTCTACTTAAGTAGCATTCATGTGTATATAAATGATATATTAAAAATTACAGACAGCTAACTGCTAGTAAAAAAAAAAGACCATACTTTATGCAGAGTTGTTTTTTTAAGATTGACAACATGAGAGAATACTATATTTTCAAGTTGTACCTTCGTTACAGACAAGCTTTCAGTGGGTAAAATTAGAAGAACAATACTATGCTATGACTATGAAAATCTTCAGCATTTAATATTCTTCTTCTTCAGTGTCATGCCTGCATGACTTTCCATTTCTCTCTGTCATTGACGTTTATCAACAATTCTGTTTATTATTCGTGGTTCCTAACCATTTTGGGAGTCCATCAAGCATCTACATTCCTTGTCTTTCTTTGCTTCTCTTTCTTTTATCTTGCTGGTTGCTACTAATGTGCTCCATCTTTTCTTTCCTCATCACAGGACCTTTGAACTCAGCTTGTCTCTTTCATATTTTGTGATGATGTTGTATGTTGTGTTGGCTTTTACCAATCCTTGTTATCTACTTTTCTTCATAGTCCAAGCTATTTTCAGCATTCTTCTTAAGAACTACATTTTGGCTACTTCAAGTCTACTCACAACTTTCCCTGTTGTTGTCCATGTTTCACATCAGTACATAAGTATGGGCTAGATGTAACATTGTAACACATTTTTTCTTACTTCTATTGATAAATTTTTGTTTGTCAGTAAAGCTTACATATTTTGAAAAGCGTTCTTAGCAAGCATTATTCTACTTTTAACCTCTTTTATTCAATTATGTACCATCTGATGTTATTAATGAGTCAAGATAGTTGAGACAATGAACTTTTAATGTTACATTAGGTTGTCAAGAAATTAATGTTGCATTTTGGAACGCTTTCATTAACCACCTCCCAAAAAATTTATATAATGAATAATAATTAAATGAACTGCCTAAACTTAACGTTAGTGTAGCCTATATAATGTGTAAAGTTTAGTATAATCTAATCCCTTATAGTGATGGTACACGAGACACACATTTGGCATGTAATGCTGTTTGAAAACAAGAAGGGAAACAATGCCTCTGTAGCCACAAAGAATATCAAAGAAGTTTATGGAAATGTTTTGAGCATTTGTAAGTGTCAGTGATGGTTCAGCAAATTTCGTTCAGGTGACTTTAGCCTTAAAAACTGTGTTGGCAAGGGCCAACATGTTGGAATTGATATTAATGCTCTGAAGACACTTTTTGAGTCTAACCCAAGGCAACACACTTGTGAAATGACTCTGAAATAGCATATCTCTCATGAAGCAATATGTAAATATCTAAGGAATATGGGAAAACTCCATAAAGAAGGTGCTTGGGTGCCTCACAAACTCTCCGATGATCATCATTTTGAACGTGTGAACATTGCTTTGTCTCTTCTGGCACATAATGTGCGTGAACCATTTTTGGACAGAATTGTCACCAGTGATGAAAAATGGATTCTCTATGCAAATAT